GAGAGATGGTTGCTCAGCCACACACTGACTGTGGTCTCTATTGGAGCAAAGGGCTTGCCCATTAAAAATATATAGTTTTTAATCGGCTAGCAACTCTAATTAGCTCAGTACAGCACATTGCTCCGAAGAACATGCAGCTCCGGAGACCTCTCCCCATGCCTTCAGAATATATGCAAATCTCTAAATGGTATCACAACATTCCAAATGACCGGGTAACCTATTTTCCGTATTTTTTTCCCCTTTGCAATGACCTCTTTCAGTCAACATTACTGAATAGCCATTATGAATCTGAGGATGAAAAACAGCAATGGATGAAACAGGCTCTCTGTCTTTGGACAAGCTTGCCTTCTGTTAGGCTCACTAAACTGGAAACTCTTTAAACAGTCGAGTACCATATGTTTCACAAATGTTGACGCAGAAAACAAATGATTTACAGTGTCTGTCCCAAGAGTCAGTGACAAAGCTTGCCTAGAATCTTGACGGATGGTTCACTATCTTCTATGATGAAGAAATGTTAAAACTGCAGCATGGTGCTATCTCCTCCCCCACTCCCTGCCCCCCACCACCCCAAAGAAATAGCGTCAGCATAATAGCAGTGCTACAGGACGACACTACAATAATTCATAGTATTGATAATAGCTGCCATAAATCTAACAGAAAGGTGAAAAGTTACTCCAAAGCGGTAGTGGGGGTGGGGGTGGCGGGGAGTCAGCTACTATATGAAGCAGGACAAAATTGTTAGGACAGGAATGATCTATTAAAATTTCCCCCAAAGATAAAGATGGAGGGGAAAAACCATATTTGCTTTCTCCACAATTAGCCTTATACTAGGACTGTCAGCTGTTTGGGAGAGGGTTTTTCATTTTAACAGGAGCTCTGGCGAGTTAGCTGTTGGGCTGTTGACCTCAAGGTTGATAGTTCAAATCCACCAACCTATCCGAGGGAGAAAGATGAGAGTGGCCGCTCCCAGGAAGACTTATAATCTTGGAAGCCCTTCGGAGCAGCTCTACTCTGTCCCATAGGATTGTTATGAGTCAGAATTGAATCAATAGTAGTTGGTTTGGTTTTGGCTTGAGGTATTTTTGTTTGGGTTTGAGATATTCCATTTTAGCTCACGTCACTTAACTGATAACTACAATACAATGGGCAAAAATCTAAGACTTCACCTCATCTAGTTGTTTGAAAGGAATTCAGAGGGTTGAGAGAGAGAAATGATAGATCCACTGGTCTTTTGACTGCTAGTCAAAAAATACAGAATCACATGTGGACTAATGCATCAAAGCAGCTGCTGATTTAAGAATGATCTCTGCATGGTTAGTGTTCACTGTTTGGCTCCGAGGAAGCTTCTGAAAGCAGCCAAGGTGATGAGAGCTACAGAACCCTAGCCCTCGAAGCCAGAACTGCATTCACACAAAAGGGTCCTTAGTGTAATTGTGGCCATGCTTTGAATGCACGGTTAGAACATGCATGGCTTGTGAAATCAGAAAAGAAAGGAAAATCTGTTTAGGTGCTCGTTAAGAAAACGTTGATGATGATAGAAATGCTTATATGACTAAGATCTGAAACATGACTTCCCCTGAGAAATCTAACACTTTGCTTCCTCTTGGATTTGTTCTTTTCTTCCATCAGTTTCTCTGGCTGTCACACATGCAAATGCACACATACACTCCAATCTCCCTGCCAGTTTTTCCTGCTTAACACATTTCGAGCATATTGTTATAAGTAAATCCAGAGAAATAATCCAAAGACTCTGAATTCATTATGCTGGGCAAGTACATTGTTTTTTGTTTTGTTTTTCCTTTTTCTTTTAATTGAGAAATAGAATGACCATCCCTACATGCTACATCTTAAATATTCAAACTAATTACCAAAAAAAAAAAAAAGGAAGAAATTGATGACTAATAATCAATTGCAGAAATTGGCCAATTGAATTTATTAAAAATTATAGTCTAGGAGTTCTTATTAAACATGGTGTATTCAGTATTTGTGTGCATCTTGGTTCCTTTCCCAAACTCTACCCACATTACAGGAAGGACGCTTAATTTTTTCTGTTCCTTTGCAGGTGTGAACTCACAATGACAAAGAAGAATGAGGAACCAGCAAGTAGATAAAAGGAGTCAGTGTATTTTTCAAAGGCAGAAAGGGGATGTGAAAGTAGTAACTAA